ATATATACACATAGTTATATACATATATATATATATGTGTTATAACATAAAACACTTAAAATCAACTGATTTGGAATTGGCACCAATCAAAACTGTCAGCAATCCAATTGTCAGCCATCCAAAAGACTGAACAGGGCCTTGTGTATCCATAGCAATAAAAATACTGATCTGGGTATACAAAACAGGCCGTTACTAGCTCAATCTATACCTTCAATAGTTAAAATCTAGAACCGGTAACAAGTAATTATAAATGTTGTTCCCCTTTCTGTTTTATCTATGTAGCCTATGTTATTAATAAGAAACCTGAAAAGAATATTTAAAACAATATCATCTCACTTTGGCTATTCTAAGCTAGAATAACAAATGCTTGTTTAAATGAACAAACTATAAATGTCCTACACAGATTATAAAACAAACGTTGACACGTCGTTTACATACAAGCTAATGACTCAAAATGCAACATCAATACAAGTCATTACCAGAGCTGCAAAATAAAGTTCTTAAGGAAGCATTAATTAAGTAACACATGAATTACATTTTTAATGCTAAGAAAATGTTGGTTTGATGCTGAACCACTGCATCCTGCACACTATGTATACACACAACACTCTGCACACAAACCCACACAGGGTTATTCACTAAAGGGTGAAGAGTCTGGAGTAGGCAGGAGAAGTGAACAATCTAGGACAAAATAGCGGATTTGTAAAAAATCTTCAATTCAGCTCACTTTCCAGTTCAGCTATGTTGCCCTAGATTGTTCACTTCTCCTGCCTTCTCCAGACTCTTCACCCTTTAGTGACATTGATAGTCTTTGAACAGCATATTCACAAGCAGCGACTATCACAATGCTAACTGTCCTCCCTCCAATCTTTCATTACTGGCACTGCTTCCCCTTTTGTCTCACCTAAGCTACAGTACATGTGCAGCATCCGATTTCCTACTCATTTTACATAGTTGTGGAAACACAGGGAAGAAGGGTGACCAATTACAAGATAACCATTGCTGGGTACAAGCACTACAATCAATACATAATTATTAAACTTGCAGTTCCCAGATACAGTGCACCAGACCTGAGGCAGATGCCCAGGGCATTAGTAGACAAGCATCACCAACAGCACACTTCACAGGCTACCGTTTCACTTACTTGCATGAGCAAGGAGCATGCACATTTAATGTAATGCTTTTTTCCCATATATTTGCTTCTAAACTCAACAAGCCCGTGTAGAGTCTTGTTCTCTTGCTAGGCTTCACAGTATGTTTTCCCTTTTTTCAATTTGCCTCCTCTTTCTCTACAGACAACACCAATTCAGTAAAGGCTTAGGACCACTTTTCTGGCAGTATGGATCTGTAGAAGGTTTTGATTCAAATTTAAAAAAGCCCTGCCGCCAGTTTTAGTAGGTTTACCGACACTGGTGACAGATTCCGCTAGTTTTTAATTGTGTCACTTTAAGAAACTGTCAATATAGCAGCAACATCTTCAAAAAGAATTACCGCCAGGATGCCTGGACGTCAGCATCCTAGCAACCAATTACGCATCCCCAGCCAAATTCAGCTGCTGTCTAGGAGATTCCCCAGCTGGCAGTTGAATGTAAAACAAAGGGGTCATGGATGCCGGCTGACATGGCTGCACAGCCGACTGTCTCTTAGCAGCCAATGATGAGGGGACTAAGCCTGATGGAGAAGCTAAAGGACTAGCTCCCCATCAGGTCCGCCTCCCTTGTGATTGATAGCAGACAGTGAGCAGATTGTATATATAATAGCCAGTCTGTCACTGGCTATGGAATCCACCCACTACCATCTGTCAATCAGAAGCAGAGCGGACCTTATAGTGAACTAGTCCCTCAACATCCACCCACTTGTAGCATTACTGGTTTTTCAGCACACTGTTGGTTACAGCCAACAGTGTCCTGTACAACAGGGGACAATGACAGTGGGAGCTGAGCCTGATAGGGAACTCTAAGAGCCTAGTTCACCATCAGATCTGCTACTAATCAACAGGCAGTGGGAGGTACACACCTCCATCTATCTATCTATACATATACACACACACACTATTGTTAATAACAAAAAAAGTGGTATTTATAAAATTGGAGGGCAGAACAAAATGTCAATTAGCAAAGACTTAGTCACACTAATCATAAGAAACGCATGAGAGAAGAAAACGCAGGCATCTCCTTTGACACTGAGGCTTGTCTCCTGCCTTCAGCTCTACATAATCAAATCTGCATCACATATTGCTTAAGCTAAACTGTCACCCACAAAAGTGAAACCATAATTCACAGCTGCCGGTAAAAGTGTCTTTTGTGCTTGTAAGACTGCGGCTGTCACAGCCTATCAAACATTCCCGACTGGAAATGGCTCCACTAAACTCCGACTTCAGTGGAAACGTTTCTGTCAGAAAATGATCAGTAACACCCACAAGTCAATCTCTGTCTTTTCCACACTGAGATTATTTTTAGATCGAGGAGAGTTTGGTGAATTCCTACAAGGATGGAACCTTCATGCAAAACTAATGTCAAGAAAAGTGTTTCAGTTTAACCTTGTTACCTGTTGGAAGGATGTCATTCAGTGTAATGCATGTTTTCTTTTTTTTTCCCTCTATCTAAATACATTTCTCCCACTGCGTATTTAAACACCCCCTGCCATTGTAACCTGCCTTTCACTCCCTCGTGTGCTCGATGACAAGCTGGTTTTCTCTGTGAAATTTTCAACGTGCAATCTCTTGATGCAACACAGTCAACACTTGGACTGCAGTTAATTTTACTAAAGAACATTTGGAAATAACAATATTTCACCATTTCTACACAAGGACGGTTTGACTGCCTCCTCAGTACTTGGTGTAGTTTCTAAAATAGCCAAGCCCACTTTTAACTATTGTCAACATGCTTTTGAATGCAAAAAGACAAACAAAACAATGCAGCCTATCACAATCCTTTTCTATTTAAGTACAAGTGTTGCTGGTAGGTTGACTTGATCTATCAGTCATTTCTGCAATCAAACATTGGTTTACAATACCTGGAAACTGACCTATCAATCAATACAGCTCTTCTGTCAGTTTAAAGTGCTGTTTAAGTTTACTGCATGTGGACCTATGCAGTATAGCAGAGTAAACACAATAATCAAAGTGTGGACCCCCACTTGGGCCTAACAGGTTTTAGTTAATGATAGTCACTCAAAAAAGCAAAAACTATAAGAAGAATAAGTGAGAAAAAGTGAACTATAAGATACCAAGCAATGCAATGGAAAATGAGACTTAAAGAACCCCTATTGTATTCTGTTAAATGTAAACAGATAACTAATCTAACAATAATAATTTGTTTTAATATTTTTATCTACCTTTAAGTGCCAACCAAGGTGCCCAGCAAAAATAACAGTGGCTGAGGCAAACTATAGCAAAATATTTTTGCAACTACCTAAGCATAACCTGGCAATGTAATAGAAGAACTGAACTCCAACAAGACTGGTGCGCTAAAGTTAAAATTGCTTAAAAGAACTTCAAGAGAGTCGGAGACTCTGTGCCATAGTCTTGTGTATAGAAAGTGTATGTACAGTCTTTGGATTGTTAGGAATGCTACACACACAAATGCTAAACTCACGCCGTCTCTGCGTCCACTTAGCTGGTAGCGTTAAAGTGCCACTAAAGTCAACAAAAAATTGTTTTAAATTTGCATCAGCATGTCATTTTATTATCCACCACACTGTATCTTTATACTTCTGTCCATTTAGCACACCATAACTACCTCTGAATAAAGGCATTCTGCCATCCTAACATTTCACACTGTAGTTTAACATGCAGTAGCACTGCGCTCAGAAACTAGTGCACATTTCTTTCACTACTCCCTCATACCTCCACTCTAATGTCCTGCCCACATCCCCGCCCACCTATCTGCATTGCCAGCCCCTGCTACAGCCTGGAGCCAGCTGCATGTGAAATGTGGTGCAAGGCACTGCGGGAGATGACACCAAAACAGAAAAGCAGCAGAAGCAGCACATAAGTGA